CATTACTCCTGATCTTTCTGATCCAAGAAAACAAAACATTTTCGTCCCAACGCCCTTTAAAAGTTTTTAATTATGGCACAGTATTAGGTATCATTCTGTAGCGTCTTATTTCAAGGCAATAAAACAAATCATGCGAAAAAATTCGATAATCAATGAAACGAATATTTAGGAACTGGAAACAGATTGGAAATCGGGCGTTTATAATTATACAAATTTAATCGATTTTGCGTTTCTAATGTTGATCAGCTTATATTGATTGGGTGAAAGTAAATAAGTAAATACGGAATACAATTTCTATATTTCCGAAAACAGAAAATATTAATAAACATGTAAAAGTATTGACACCAACTGAAATAGCCGTTTACTTACCTAGGATTGATACATTTGATGTCAAGGTGTACCCAGAAAACAGAATGTTTATCATTATTCCTTTGAATCGACTATTAAAATAAAAATCATAACTTTGATTAATTAAAATTCTGTTAGTAACACTACATTTAGAAAACAATGGATATACTCAAATTTTTATTGAATATGACCAACTTCTAAAAACATGTTTCAAGTAAGTACACTTAAAACACCTAATTCCACCATTTTGACAGTTAATGACAAGATTCCATCTTTTTATTACTATCCTCCAGAGAAAACAAAAGCATTCGTCATATGAATTTTCAAATTAATAAAAAATCTCATCACCTGAAAATTTTCTCCACTCTCATTTTTGTGTTTATTTTCAAACGTGCATATAAACATCATATCAAATCTGATAATGGGTTCATTTCTTTTTAGATCGACTATTATTTTCTGAAGTATAACAATTTCAAGGTGTTATTTTCTGATGAACCACATTCCCAATTGATTTTGAACCACATTCAAGTGTGACGTAGTAATTTACTTCTTGGAGAAAGCAAGGCATTTTTGAAATGACACGTGGCAAGCCTTTTTTCAGTTTTGGAAATATAAACTATGAGCATGTTCCGATATTCCCGAACAGTTCTGCCCAGTATATTTGATCGTTCCGATTTTACTGAAATTTACTGGCAACGTTTTCGCGGGTCATTCACAAGGAACCCGGTCAGAGGCTAAAAGATTACTGTTGGCACTCTGTTGGCTACTAGTGCGGAAATGGTGATGTAGTGCCAGTATTCATGAAATGTTAGGTTAAGCGTTTGAATGGTTAGGTATGAGTCGATAAAGATTATACATTATTATTTTAAAATACTTTGGGAAAATGTATAAAGTGGCACACAGTGGCAGTAGATGCTGCAACTGCTACTAATCCTCAAGATGGTTTTTTATTCCCACTTTTGATATCAAATATTTCACACCTCTGCTTCAGTGTTCTTCTTCACTGGAACTAGGTACTAGAGCTTGGTGTTTCTGATGAATCAGAATCACTATCGGATAATATGTCCTCTAAGATATAATATGATTATAATTACTCCATCCATAATTTCAACGTGAGTAATGAAGATAAGATGAGAATGATGAAAATAAATTCATAGGTTAAGGTTGTTTGCCAGTATACCAGTACTGCCAAAATCGTTCCGAAATGAGATGAAAATTCGAAACTTCTGCTACTGTTTAGTGTTCCTGAATTGCTTACTGTGGCCAGTAATGTCAGCAATATCAGAACATGACCAATATCAGAGAGGTGAAGTAAATAACGGTATTGAAATAATCCACCTTGTATCGATCATCATTGAAGATCAACATATTCAACACTGTTGATCTATTTCAAGTTGTAGCACCTATTGCAAATAGTTGACCCAGAATTTATTTTCCATTATTTCCAACATCCAAAGTTTATTTTCCAGTCATTCTGGTTCTAGACCACCAACAAAAATTTCCATCTAGACCGCTATAAACGCCTAGAAGCAAATGTCGATGACCAATATGGTGGTTAGGGAGAAAAAAATGTGCATTTTCCTGCTCTTTCCTTGTTTACCCTGAAGACATAATCGAAGATTTCAATACTGATATTACCAGGCCTTCATGAACATTCATTTTTATTGTTTATTTTGTGTACTAGCTCCTCAGCTTAACAAATGATTAAAACTGCGAAACTCTATTTCAAAATGTCAATTAATGACTTTTCTACACTACTGAACTTGCTTTCAATTTGGAACAATTCTTTCATACCTATTTGAACACGGTTCATTAAAAAAAAACACCTTTAGTCATTGCTTTCATATGGACATCTTCAACAATGAACATTGCTTTTGCATACTCTTATGTAACAGGGTCAAGTTTAACCAATCTGACTGCAAGAATTCGTATGATTAATTTCAACTAATGGTAAAGTATTCTTATTTCCATTTTTTATGTTTCCTCTTATTAACATTTTTGTCAATTGTTTCTTGTTTCAATTTTCATACTGTGATCTCAACACTTAACAATCTTCTAAAATATGTATAGCATGTGAAATAGTAATTTATTCTATCAATTCTCGAAGTTTGATAGATTAAACTTGACTCACCCTGTATAATGAAATAGTTTCCTCAAATAGGTATTTCTAAGCATTGAGTCATTACTTATATTCACCTTTATCTCAACTACTATATTTATATTCATTAGTGATAACCAGGGGAATGATGCTAAGCAAAAATTATGGATTAGGTATACCTAACACAGTACCTATATATTCCCATCTTAAGACATGAATTGGCAAAAACAATGTTAACTTTGGATAATTCATTCAACTTGTGGATGGTTGTCTGGTGTTTGAGGAATAGCGTTTATGTTGGATACCACAAAATGTAACTAAACAAGAAACCACAGACAGATGCGGTTCCAGAAACTGTTGTTCATCTATCCATTTTTGTGACATTTGTTTGGTGATGACACTCAACTCAAGCCATATTTATAGAGCCTGTTCTAAATCAAGTCGACAATATTGCAAACACCGTCATTATTGGGGCTACAAACTCGGCCAATTGAATATTGTTATGGTATCAAGGTGTGAATATGAAAACCACTTGACTGTCATATTCTTGAAACATCTTTTAGTTCCATTCAATCACAATCAGATTGTGAGCAAAAATGCATCTATGATTGATCTCGCTAAAGTTTTTTGGTATAATAATTGTAACCTAAAGGTTTGATATGTACTAATGTGCTTTCAAGGAGCCTTGGAACTTTGTGGACCTAACTTTGAAACTGTGAAATGTGCAGTCCATGGTGGTGTCGTCGATCTTTTTTTGAAAGCTTATTTTACCTTCCTGAATAGAAAAATATGAAAGAATAATCCAACCTTCAATAAAAAAAAAGAGAGAATAATCCAACAGTTGATGAATACGTCAACATTAGCTCAACAATCCATTAGTTGAACAGTCACAATGACATCTGACTAATAACCGCGAGGTCGTGAGATCGAATCCCAGCCAGGGCAAGGCATTTTTCTAATTTTTGATTCACGAATTGACTATTTGTAAAGTTTCGGCGCATCTGCTGGGGGAGTACTGCACGATTCACTGTTACGTTTCATTTAACCCGGCGTCACCCAGGTGGAAAATCTGTACATTATCACCCGAATAGACTCGGATTTAGAAAATGTCGATAGTTTTCTCGAAGTCATATTGTCAGTCACTTGTTCAGGATATCTTGATATGATCAGTCGAAATTGAGGTTATGGTATTTTGATGTTTGCGGCTAGTGGACAGCCCATGAAAAATCCATGTCACGCAATCATTCTTGATTAATGATCGCTTTTGTGAGCTCGTCAGTCTTCTAGGCCAATGAAAAGCGAGGTCAATTTATTCTCAAATGGAATGTAATTTATCGAGTTTGTGTTTTCAATAATGACGGGTTTAGTAAGGACCGATTCGATTTAGAAGAGTTTTTGAATGTTTTACATCTTGGTTATTCGATCTTAGATGAGTTATCACCAGAATCGCCAATTCACCACATTGCTAAATTTCATCAATTAAAATATCTGCTTTATATATGATTATATTATACTCATCAACACTTGAAAAAATATCAAATGAAATATAAACGATGCCGAAAGGAGAGTGGCTATTTCTCCAATTTTATTTGATATCACTGGGCTTTATAATTATTATGAATATTATGATCCGGAATCTAATTGCCATCGTCAAGATTAGCTCGTATTTCATAGTGACTTGGAGAAATTTATTCACCTCTCTCCACCTTAGCTCTACCCCTTTGGTTAAGAAATCACTGAAATAGGATCGATGTATGTTGAAGTTGAAACATTTTGTAGTATTTTTATATGGAAGACATCTCTATTATTTTTATTGCTCTGGGCTGAAAATCAGTTAGATAAATATTGATTTTGTGATACAAATACTGCATTTCATTCTGAAATTCAACTGAGGAAGGTGCAGCAAGATATTGGTTCTAACAATACGCCAAATTATATTTTGATTATATTTTCCACATGACAAGTTTGATATCAAAGTCCAAAAGTATTATTAAACATGTTTTCCCATTATAATGAAGTATAGAATGTGTTTATTGATAAAATTTTATTATCATCTATAAAAAGATAATGAACGAAACAAAATGAAAAATAACCAATCAATAGACATCGTAAATCAGATAAATGATGAAAATAAGTAACAACCACTTAGATATTTTAGTAGTTGCCGCCTCTCCATTTGAGTTACACAACTCAATTTCCATATGTAACCTGTCACATTTGACGACTTTATTTTTTATTCAGTATGTGCCAACTCTGACAAAATACCTTTTATAATAAAATAAGAAGCAGCATTTACTTGGAACACTTCGCCATCTCGCAAATAGCAAAGTTTTACTGGACATTGCGATTCCATTTTTGTGAATAGTTACCGGACCGCCGTCAATCGGACTCTTACTCTGCACAAAAACAATGAAACTATGCGACTTGGTCTCGATAAGCAAGTATAATTGGTTGGCGATGCTGCTTTGTCCACTTCCGCCACTCTAGGCGGTCGGTTGGTGCCCTGCTGAAGGAGATCCAGGCGGCAGGCTTACTCTGCCCGTTCGTTACCTCTTCAGACCCACGGAGTCCAACCCTCGTATAATAGTGCTAGGTTATCCAGATTGCTCGCCTCATGGAATACATAATCGACCTGAGAAAGAAAATGCACGGTCAGAGGGCAAGGATTCACTTTCAGCGTACACAAGTATTGTACTGGGTGGCACACTTGTATCCGGTTTCAAGTGTAATCATGAATTCACTTCCTAACTACTCCAAGCGAATCCCTGAAGTTAATTATTCTGTCCTCTTCCATGTCCTCACAACCCGTTCATTGATTGAACTAATTAGTAGTTTAGCATTTATTATTATTAACTATAATTAAGAATGACCGTTTTTTCTTGCCGGTGTGTAGATGACAGCTGCTGATATGGGTGCATGGGGGTCAAATTTTATGGCAAACTCAATGGTGTAAGCCGCATATTATTGTTCATCATTGCTTCAGAGTTATTAAGTATTTTTTTGATCTTCATGAGGAAAAATTCAATTTTCAAAGTAAATAAACGAAGAAGTCTAATTTCAGTACCTGAGGATCAATTTTCATGACAAATACAATGATTTCTCTACATTTTTTGGGAATCCCTCTCCTCGTTTCCTTGATTAGAATTATGAGTATTATTTCAAAATACAGGATGTCATTAAAAAAACATATAATTCAAACCATACGTAGACTCAAAATATACTACTAAATGGTACCACTGAAAAATGGGGCTATACCTTTTTCAGCCCAAAATTCTATTCATCGAGAGTTAATCTTTGACGAAGAAAAACTATTGCTCTCCGCCACAACAACGACATTGAAATAGCGAATGCAAACATTTTAAAAAGTCTTCACCCAACAAGCATTTATTATCACACACAAGCTTGACAACTCAACTGAAATATTAGACACAGACACTAGAATGGACGAAATTGGAGTAAAAACAAGAGGATCTTTATTATTCTACCCCAATACTGAACACTTCCTTGTTCATCAGGGGGAACTACTTCAGTAAGATATTCAAAAATTAAAACTGAAAGGCACATATTACCAAACAAAATAAAGAATCCTAATTCGTTCATTTGACATCTCAGGCACAGAATAGACGTTCTGATGAATTGAAAACTATTATTCCAATGTGCATTATGTATCTATAGAAAGGCAAAGCTTTGGAATAATTTCCAATGGAAGTATTCAAAAGAACTTATAACCTCCAGGAATTCAAACAAAAAAATCCAACACCCTCCATCCTCTCCCTATCCTCTCTAGGTACGCACGAAGTTCTTCGAACATTATAAGAATTTTCTTTCGTATGCTCCAAGAGATAAAAAAGGCCATACAATAGGTATTCGCTCATAGGGAATCTGGTAATGCTGCATCATTTCTAATGTCAGTATCATCAAATTTTTCATGTGGACCGCAGAGTCACTAGGATTTTAATAGCTCTGAAGAGGCGTACTGGATTTTTAACTTGATTATTTGGATTTTCTCGTATCTATAAAATATTAATATGAGTATTATTTCAATATATGTGTAGTAGGACAAATCAGATGATTTTCCCCAAAGTGTCACTGCATTTAACATTCAACATCAGTAGGACACTTCACAGTGTATGAAAATGATTGTACTTTCGATTTTTGATTTTTGCAAACAAAATGGGTTTCAATATGCGGTTTTCACCCCTGAGTTTATGGAGGCCCCCAGCATCAGTTTCCGTCTACATAGTTAAAAAATAAGAGTCTCCCTTTAAAGGTGTGAAAAATCAAAATACACTCACAGGCAAAAAAAAACCGGTCACCAAAATATTTTGCCAAATTTCGACCAAATCGTATATACATGTTTCGGAATGTTAGCCTGGATATGGTCCTAAGAAAAGCTGATGGCTTTATCATTATACAGGGAAAAACAAAAGTGACCCTTTCACCCTCAACTTCTTAACGCCCCGCGGCCTATCTGAGGATGCGGGACTCTGGGAGTTGGGCTGACGGAGGAGCAGTGACAGGTCACGCGGAAATTGCGACATGGGTGGAGCAGGAGATCCCTATCTCCACCCTAAGAGCAAAGAACGCTCAAAATAGGCTGAGATGGAATAGAAGGTTCACCCTCATTATTCCAAGCAGGGAACAATGGGAAGAGAACAGAGTGGAATTCCGCCCAGGGAGTCTAGTATGTTATACGGACGGATCGCGCCTAACTGACAAGCAGGACACGGGTGCAGGAATTTACCTAGAAGGAATAAGCATAAGGGAGAGCTACGCTCTTGGAGAGTATATCACAGTTTTCCAGGCTGAGGTCTTTGCCATTCTGGCAGTAGCAAAGAGGCAAGAGGTGAAAGAGGGACCAGAGCAGAAGATTTACATCTGCTCGGATAGTCAGGCGGCTCACAGGGCTATCTGCCATCCTAAACCAAGCTCAGCTTTGGTGCAGGAATGTGACGATGCTCTTGAGAAACTAGCTGAACAGAAGGAAGTCGAACTAGTATGGGTTCCGGGTCACAGGGGAGTGCCCGGGAACGAGGTGGCCGACGAGCTGGCTAGAATCGGATCCGCGACACCGTTCTGGGGACCGGAGCCTGCACTGGGCATAACAAGAAGCCAAACTTCGTCTGCCCTCAACAAATGGGCGGACGAGGCACTAGAAGGATATTGGAGGTGTATAGGCGGCTGCAGGCAATCGAGAGACCTGGTGGCCGGTCCAAGCAAGCCAAAGACGGCTTGGTTACTGGGCAGGGATCGCCAAGTCCTGACAGGGCACAATAGGTTACGCAGACACCTATCACTCATAGGTGTGGAAGATAGTCCCACTTGCCGTGAATGCGGAGAAGATGAGGAGACATCCCTTTACTTCCTCGGAGAGTGTGAGGCGTATGGAAGGATGAGATTCGAAATCTTTGGAGTAGATAAAAAAGATTTGGTCGAATTAGAGTAGACGGACATCCTGACCTTCATCAGAAGGACAACTAAAAGAGGGAATGGTAGATATGTGGAGAACAGGGGTTGGCAAAAAGGGCCCATGGGGGCCTACTTGCCTGGCTACAGCCTCCCCACAATACTACTACTACTAATACTAGTTCGGCCATGCCAGAGACTCTTCAAGAGCTACGATTCGCCCTTCCCGGAGATTTTTAGGCAATTCTTCAAGACTACTTTAGAAATTTGATCAACTCGATGCCCCGGCGGTTGAATGCCTCGTTGAATGACTCGTTATTGACTATATACTGTTCTGCTTTTCGTTTGTTTTTGTAATTAAGATTTTTTTCTGTAAGTGCAAAGAAAATGAGGTAGAAATATGTGACATTATTTCTTCAAGTTGTCCATCGATAAGTTTATGTAGGTTCTGATTATTGTTATTATGAGTATCACTGAAATTTGAAAAATGACATACTTTCCTAAAACACTTGTACTCTCCTAGAACACTTGTATTTTCTCTAACTTACTTAAACTTACTTACTTAAAGTAATATTCAGGAATTCAGGCTAACATTACGGAACATGAATCTACGATGTGATCGAAAGGACCCCGCACGAAAACACGGAAAATTGGCTCTCGGTCGAATTGGCTGAAATTATACTATGTTGTTGTGAGATGGCTCATTAGAAAAATATGTGAGTTTGAAAAGTTTTGTATGTTTAGTTTCTGAGATATAAGCCGACAAAGTTCGTAAAAACGTCGTATCGGGGTAGGATTGACAAAGAAAAAAACTGTTTTTTTAGTATAAATAAGACAAAATAAGCTAGAAAATGTATTGATCGGAACTCAAATACATCTCTAGTTATGATCACAAACATTTTAATAAATCAGGGTGTATACGAGGCTCGGTCAGAAAATTCATTTTTCGAAAAAAAAAATTCGAGCACTATTCCAAAACTAACAAGCTATATTTTGGTGAGACATTCTAGTTTCAGTCTATTGTAGGCTTCGAAAACGTATTTTCATTCTTGATAACTATCTCTGTTCGAAATATGAATTCTTTGAATTTTGTAGTATACCCCATTTGGAAAACAATGGACTGCTTGCTTTTGATCACAAAAAAAGGGATTGATTGATACTGTTGATTTATTGAAAGCTGAGTTAACTCACTAGCGAATTCAGTTGTTCAATATTGCTTTTCATTTAGATACAGGGTGTGTTAGATTTTGTTGGAGATTATTTAAAATGTTTCAATTGAATATCTCGAAAACAGTTCCGTTAATTTGGATCTCATTTCACCCACACTATTTTGAATATGTTGACTATCATATGCAAAAAGTTTTTCAATTTTTTATGTTTTGTTTCTGAGATATGCATTCTTGAGTTTACAGTATTACAGGTATTATAGGGTTATTACCTCGGATATTACTATCGATTCAACAGAACTTTACGGAATCCATACTGTTGAGTTTCATATTGTTTTTCAATGTGGTTAGTGTTGTTTATAGTTACAAATTATTGATTTCTAATAGTTTCATAATGTAATTGAATGTTCGAAAGATTCCGTAAAGTTCTGTTGAATCGATAGTGATATCCAAGGTAATAACCCTTTAATACCTGTAATATAATAAATACTGTAAAAATGATATCTCAGAAACGAAACATAAAAAATTGAAAAACTTTTCGCATATGATAGTCAACATATTCAAAATAGTGTCAGTAAAATGAGATCCAAATTAACGGAACTGTTTTCGAGATATTCAATTGAAACATGTTAAATAATCTCCAACAAAATCTAACACACCCTGTATCTAAATGAAAGGCAATATTGAACAACTGAATTTGCTAGTGAGTCACATCAGCTTTCATTCAATCAACAGTATCAATCAATCCCTTTCTTTGTGATCAAAAACAAGCTGTCAATTGTTTTCAAACAGGGGTGTGACACAAAATTCTAAAAATTCATATCTCGAACTGAGATAGTTATCAAGAATCAAAATACGTTTTCGAAGCCTACAATAGACTAAAACTATGAATTTTTTTTTCCGAAAAATTAATTTTTTGACCGTGCCTCGTATGCACCCTAATTTACTATAATTTATGTGTTCATAACTAGACATGTATTTGAGTGCCGATCAATACATTTTCTAGCTTATTTTGTCTTATTCATACTAAAAAAACAGTTTTTTTCTTTGTCAATCCTACCCCCGTAACGACGTTTTACGAACTTTGTCGGCTTATATCTCAGAAACTAAACATACAACACTTTTTAAACTCACAGATTTTCCTAATGAGCCATCCCACAACAACATAGTAAAATTTCAGCCAATTCGACCGAGAGCCAATTTACCGTGTTTTCGTGCGGGGTCCTCTCACAAGAATCGGACAAGGATTGAAAAAGTTACAGGGTGAACAATTCTGGCAATTTTTTTGGTGGCCGGTTTTTTTCGCCGGTGAGTGTATTTTAAATAAATAGTTACCTGTTCTTGAACAGTACTTTTTCTGCCTGGATCCGGATCCCGTCCCTCCAACTTCATTTTGACTCTGTGCCACACCTTTATCGCGTAGGCGTTACTCTGCTGCCCCTTCGAAACACTTTCCTGTTTCTGAGGCGCCACTTTCTCCTCATCGTCAGTCGAGGCTTTCTGCCATACCAATTCCGCCCGCTTCTTGGCCGATTCCAAATTCAGCAAGCTCTCGTACACGTCCGAGGTGTGTTCCCTGATGTAGCCCAAGTGATGCAATATATTTTGGATCTCCTCTTTGACCATTTCTCTCTTGAATTTCGCGAGCAGGGTCGAAAAGTTATCGGTGTAATGTCGGTACTTTTGCGCGAAATGTTGGGTGGCTACGCTGTAATCATCTATTTTCGTCATATTTTTTATCAGGCCTTTTACATCAGCATACAATTTGCAATGGATGCCATAAAGTGATCTGAAGTTATCCATAAGAGACATCAAGTCGTCGTTGTCAGAAAAGCTGGCATTTCTATGTTCTTTCAGTTTTTTCTGGGCTTTGGTGATAGTAGTTGTTAACGTTTCCGAAATCTTCTGCAGCCATTTGGGATCCTTAACCAAATCGGGAGTAAACATTTTGAGTATGCTCTCTTCCGAGGGGTTCAAAGATTCGATTTTGGAATCGTTGTATTGACATGACAATCTCCAAGTTTCGAAACACTTGAGGAACTGTTTGTCATAGTCTTTAGTGGGTTCAGCTGAATTACTTCGAAGGTACTCGTGTTTTAGCACAGAAGTGTAAGATGACAGTATATTGTTAGCTATATTCAATTCCATATTCAACTTGTTATTCCTAGTTTCTATGGCATTGTCAAAAGCAGCGGATATTTCCACTACATTCGGATTAGCACCTTTTGCCCAGTTCAGTCTTTGATGTGCTTTCTCTATTAGCTTTTCCTGAGTGGATTTCGCCTCCACTAATTGCCTGTAAATATTTTGCAGAGATCCAACTTCACTTTGGATATCGTGAATCAACTTTGTTCTGACCGATGCGAAATTGTGTAACTGTAGAATTTCATCGAACAACATGTTATGAACGGCTAATTGACTTTGTAACCTCAAAGTACTCGATTGCAATATAGTCAGTTTCTGTTCGATCTTCTTTGGCTCTTGTATTTTTTCCCAAGCTAACTTGAGGTTCGTTTCTAGGCTAGAGGCTTGAGAGAGGACGTTTTGTGAGAAAGTGCCGTCTTTCAATAGCATATTCCAAGCCTTACTATACAACTCGTCTAGAGGAACTTTACTTTCAGCACCGATATCTTTTTGTTCTATTTCATGGCTGACATCCAGTCCCAAATTTTGCAGAAGATAACAAACTGCGTAGGTTATTGTTTCCGGTAATATTCCCAATAGCTTTCTAGATATGAATTCCGCTATATATTGCTTGATCGGTTTCGTCAACTGTTCGTCATTGAAAATTATGCCGGTTCCGACGCCTTTCAATGACAGGCACATTTCTTGAGCAAGAGTGAAAAAATCTACTATCGATTTCAGACGCTTCAGGAAAAATATGTCTTCCAAGATATTGAGGACATGTGAATTGAATATGTGCGGTGCAATGTTTCTGGCTTCCTTAACATGGTCAAGTCTTTTCCATGATTTTGGTATATCTATGTTACCGAGAGTGTTTGTAAGATTAGCGATCTCTTGAGTCAATTTATCGAAAAGTCCATTGAAACCCATCAGCAGCATTTTTCCTTGGCTCAATGCTTCTGATTGTGCTGGTATCAAAGCCATATACTGTTGTTTTGTATTAGCCGTGCGTTCCAAAATGTAATCATATGTAGTCTGCAATATAAAATGTACGATAAAACAAATGGAAAGGAACAGATGGACGAAGTTCCACATTAGAGATGACCAAGCCACACATACGGAAGGTATAAACTTGAAGATATTTAAAAAAATGCGAAAAATATTGATATTTTTGGTATAAAACTTCGCATGGACGAGAAGTTTTCTAGAACTGAACTATACGTTATTATTTCAATGCTCACTACATAATGAAATCAAAAAAATGATGCAAAAGTTCCGGAAAAAAACTTTTGATTTGAAAACCACTGAAACCCTGAAGTAATGTTTTTAGTTCAGTCTATAGAGACTACTTTTGATTTGAAAATAAATAATTCCATTATGTGCCAACAGACTCATAGTTTGACAGCTCGTTGGATTGCCTAAGATAAAGATAGAACAATATCAATAGACAAGTTCTGTCAAGACAAAGTATGCTAAATAAATACAAATTCTAATAGAGTCAGTCCAGTAGTTAGGGGGGCAGCATATAATGATTACACAAAAGAGTTTTGAAAAAATATTATATTATATAAAAATGAATTATATTCGACCGCTGATAAAACTGTACTGAAAATATTAGCAGAAGGGAAATTGAGTTTATACAACAGCCATTTGGTACATTTATGTAAGCAACCATTACGGATTTGATGACATTACAATCCGGTTTTTCTAGAATGCCAGCAACTTCGTTTTTTCAATTGGAACATCCTGTATATTTTTACATATTCAAATTCAACAGATCAAAACAACTGCAATCTTATGACAAGATTCAGAATTTTTGTTCTCCACAGCTTATTTGAAAAATTATTCGAACTGTAAGGAAATTCATGAAACTAGTTGTTGATTTTTGAATGTATATGTCGCAGTTTCTTAGTGTAATCAGCCGTTTCATGAAAAGTCTGGTATTTTCATGAAATGCTGCCAAACACTGAAACAATGACTACGCCAGAAGGCTATAAATTCCTTCCTCTGAACATGTCGTCCCATCAACTTTCTAATGAACACTATTCGACAGGTTTAGAGAAAGGAATATGTCTTCTTATTTATAGCCTTTTGGCATAACAGTTATTATTTCAGTGTTTGGCAGGTAGTTTTTGTGTTTGAAAACTAGGCGACATTCGAAAAAAAAAATTCTACATTTCCGACTTGAAATTGAGCGCTCATTTGCTCCATTCATTTTGTCAGAGAGCCTGTATGTTGATATCGGAAGTACTCACACAAACCAATTCAGCTCATCGAGCACTAGGAAATAATTGTAAACTTAACATCGTTTCAAAATGAATTCATGTATTATTATATTACTATTATTATAAAAACAAGCCAGTGATATATTTTCACTTTGTTGAATATTACCAACAATTAATACCTAAAGGTGATATTGAAGCTGATATACTAAAATCAGGAAGTAGTTTTCGTTTATGAAGTAGGTAAGTAACTATAATTAATCATCAATGTAAATCAAGAAACGAAGTAGGTTCCTCGTAAATCATATGAAACGCAGTATGGTAAAAAAATACGACTAGATAAAAATATGACTGGGACTAAATCAAATAGACAGAGTTTAGCACCTTTGAGTATAGGAAAATCTTTATCTTCACACAGCAAATCTCAGGAACGTACGATACCTCGTGGTCGCTCGGTATGATATACAAATTATACAACACTGAACAATAATTGTAAAATTACTCACCCCATAGTCCATTTGCATTAAAACACAGGTCAACAATTTCTCCAGCTGTGCAATCACATCCGGAATAGATACTCCAATATCCATCACAACCTTGTTCAAGTCGTTGATCAATTCAAGCACCGACGGCTCTTCAGACTGAATTTTCTTCAAAGATTCGGGAAGTATAATAGTGTGGAAGTTGAAATTCAAATCGTACAACCCCTTGTAGATATTGCTAGCGATCTTGATCCCGGCCAGGATCTTGTAGAAGTTCTCGTCGTAATTTTGCTTGGCCGGCAGATTGGAGATCATCTCCACCGATCTGGTGCTGTGTAGGAACAAGTCATCGAGGAACCAATCGCCGTCGCGCGACGTCAGCTTTATCAGCCAATCACCGCTCCTTTGCGCTGCTATTTCCAGCGTCAGCAAGTTCCTGTTGAGCAGGACCAGCTCGCTAGCTATGACGAACTCGAATGCCCCGATCGCCCCTTTCTCTGTAGCGAGGAAGGAGTTTATCCCCAACTTGGCACCGGTGTAGATCTTCTCTAGAGAGTTGTTCGGCTCTTTCGTTCTCAGATTAGCCAGTTCGTCGAAGAGCTTGTTCACTTGCATCAGATTGTCCTTGTAGAGAGCCTCCAGGTTGAAAGCGATGTTGACGACGTGGGGGTTGATGATTTTGGTCGACTCGATGAACTCCCGTATTCTGTCGTACACGATATCGCAACTGTTGAAGTTGTTGACTTCCATCAGGAATTTCGACCACTTTTGGTACAAGTTGATGCGGTGCGATTCGATGTAGGATTTCGGACACTGCGAGAGGATGGAGAAGTAGTCTTGGTATATCTGGAGGCACTTTCTGATAGCCAAGTTCATGTGCTGCGATAATTGGTATAATTCTTGTTCTGATTGTTCACATTGAGCCACGACATCATCCTTTCCGGCATTGTGCAAGAAATCTTTCACCAAATCAAAAATTTGCATGTTATTCTCGTTAATATTCATCTTCAAGTCTATCAACCACTGAGAAAATTGCTGTCTTTCGAAGGAGGAGATTAGACCAGCATAAATACCAATGTGATTTTCGCAGTCTTCCAAAACATTATTCAAATCTTTTCTGGCAGTGCTCAAAGATACTTGAGACTTATGGTAAGTGTCGTAGAGTGAAGGTAAAGCATATAGTGGATGATTGTGAATTCCTTGTGCTTCTGCTTCTTTCACTAGAGCCAACTGATGATGAAGGTCCTGTAAGTCATCTTCGATTTCTGATATTCGGATATTGAGTTCCAAATAAGCATTTAGACTTTTTTCTATATTCGGTATCTCGGTAATAATGTCATCCCTGAAAATAACCGTATTTTAATTATACTAGTGTATTAAGGGCCAATGGAAACTTTCCACCCTAATTTGTAGGAATTAAAATAAAAAATTTGAATACGCTCGAATACATCGACTTTTGATTTGAGGGGGAAATAATTTTCAGCTTTTTTCACCGCCGTAGAGTTAACTGGCGGAAGAACAACCCTCAAAATTTGTATGGGGGAAAGGGGTTCGTGCCATACCTCTTTTTAAAGATATCATCGAGTTCTTCATGACCTTATAGTTCTGCCTCATTATTTTCATAGATAACGAAATGACAGCTGGCCAAAATCTTGGAAATAGACTATTGTTTTCGTAATGAATATTTTTTTCTTTTTTTATCGCCTGGTGCGCACGAAAAGGAATCCCTATAATATTCGAATAACCTCGTGCGTACCTAGGGGAGGATAGGGAGAGGAGGTAGGTGTTGGATTTTTTTTGAACTTTTGGATATTATAATTTCTTGGAAATACTTCCTCAGACAATTAATTCCAGAGCTTTACCGTTCTATAGAGAAACAAGTTTCGATATAGGGAGGTTTTGACAACAAAAGGGTGTGCTGACTGCGCGTGTCGAGTTTGTCTGGCTGGTATTGCTAGTCATGGAATGATAGCAGAGATTTCTGAAGAACATTTCCCGTGGAAGTATCTATAAAAAAGTGAAAGGTCGCCGACCTTCCTACTAGTCTAAGATCCGAACCTAAGTCGACCTTCACCGAGCTGATAATAGAACGAAATATATTTCATCATGAATTTAGTATATTAGAAAACATATTAAAAATGGGTTGCCTAAAAAAATCCTGGGCAGACTATTTTTAATTATTTTTCGAAAAATTATTTTTAATTAAATGTTGCAACATCAGGATAATAAAACAATTGTGTCCTGACTGAAAGTATAAAACGTATAGAATGTGCAGCCGTTGGGTTGTCTACTATTTACCTGGGCGAACTACTGGGTTGTCAGGTAAACACAGGTATATCGATGCCAGTTACTTTCACTGGATTGGATAATTTAAAAAAATTTATATCATCATAAGCGCTGTTTAATTGCGAACACGTTGATATAGGGTTGTCTGCGAAAATTCCGGTCCTATTAGGGGTTTGCGAATTTTAAAGATTTTAATTTCAACGCGCGTGGAAGTATGTGACAGAGAGATCCGAGGTAAGTATACTGTGTAATAATAAAGGACCCAACATCGCAGTCGCTTGTGCTGGGACCCTGAATAGTAGAAAGTGTGCGAAGTGTGCGAAGTCAAATCCTGAAAACTATGGTTGGCATTTTGATGATTTCTTAAAACCAACAGGTTTTATCGGAGATCAAACTCCTTTGAAAATCCAGGACATTGTCGAAATGGAAGCAAATGAGGAAGAATCTAATGAATCAGACGAATTCGAGAGTCAAAATGATACTTCTGATGAATCAGATATTGAATAGAAAATATTTATTAGAATTTATTTTTCATTAATATTATTTTTGTATTTATACTGTTTTTTAATGAAATTTTAAATCGTAATACAAGATGTCTAGTCTATCTTTTTTGTTAATTCTTAATTTAAATTTTTGGCGGTCCACTTTGTTTCTATTTCCAGAAAGAGCAAAAAAATTTCAAAGTAAGTATTTTATATTTTTATTGTCTATTATAGATTATAGATATATCATTATGGTTATAACGCAATATATTGATATTATATTGTTTTTATATATTAGTATTATATTAAATATATTTAATTATTATGTAATTAATTAATTATTTTTTTTGCTACTGAAATATCAGTTGCTCCAAAATAACACGCACTGTTTACTATATGAAGGGTAGTAGAGGTACCTCTACCCTCCATAGTTTACACACCGAGCATGCGCACTTTCTACTATTCAGGGTCCCATCACAAGCGACTGCGATGTTGGGTCCTTTATTATTACACTGTATACTTACCTCGGATCTCTCTGTCACACACTTCCACGCGCGTTGAAATTAAAATCTTTAAAATTCGCAAACCCCTAATAGGACCGGAATTTTCGCAGACAACCCTATATCAACGTGTTCGCAATTAAACAGCGCTTATGATGATATAAATTTTTTTAAATTATCCAATCCAGTGAAAGTAACTGGCATCGATATACCTGTGTTTACCTGACAACCCAGTAGTTCGCCCAGGTAAATAGTAGACAACCCAACGGCTGCACATTCTATACGTTTTATACTTTCAGTCAGGACACAATTGTTTTATTATCCTGATGTTGCAACATTTAATTAAAAATAATTTTTCGAAAAATAATTAAAAATAGTCTGCCCAGGATTGTTTTAGGCAACCCATTTTTAATATGTTTTCTAATATACTAAATTCATGATGAAATATATTTCGTTCTATTATCAGCTCGGTGAAGGTCGATTTAGGTTCGGATCTTCTACTATACGATGTTCCAATGATATAAAAGTGTTAGTGAGTATGGCATCACCCACCAGGCGAATGGTTCTTCTCTGGATGGAATCTAAGAGCATCAGAGTATGTTTGGGTGCTGAACTCCATATGTGAGAGTGTTCTAGAACAGGTCGTCGCATCTGTGCTTGAATCATGAGAAGCTGTTGAGATGTAAAAAGTACCTTTTCGCACGGAATAAAAATCCGAATTTGTGTGAAGCAACTTTCGCGATGGATCTGACATGATTATCTCATGAAAGAGTATTGCTGAAAGAGAACATCGAGCATGGATATTGTTGACTTGGTGGGAATGTTGGTATCAGACAATGTTATATCAGGCATACTGAGGTCCGCCTTTCTAGAGGAAATATAGGCTTGAGTTTTCGCGGCGTTGAATTCAACTAGGTTGTTGGTTCCTCAGGCTGTGATTTTAGCAAGATCTTCATTGACAGCAATGACCTGCCTTCGCCGTGAGTTCTTCGTTTCCTGGAAAGAAATGGGAACTCTGGAAGAGAAAGCAGTATGGAGAGTACTATCATCTGCGAAACTGTGGATACGGCAAGTGGTTGCTCCCAACAGATCATTGATATGAAGTAGGAACAAAGTTGGTGTCAAAGCTGATCCTTGTGGAACGCCGAAATCGATGGCAATGGTATCAGACGATACACCGTCCACCACCACGTGGAATGATCTGCCTGAAAGAAAACTCGAAAAGAGATAGTATAGCAGAGGTGGTAAGCAAATTATTAAAGTTTCAAGTTCAATAATCAGGTATACACATCCAATAGCTTGGAAGATAAATTTCAAATGTACACCTGATTATTGAAATTGTACATCTAATTATTTTGTATTTTATCAACAAAATAGTAGACTATTTCCAAGATTTTCACAAGCTGTCATTTCGTTATCGATAAAAATGATGAGGCAAAATTATTGAGTCATAAAGAATTCGATGAGACCTTTGAAAAGAGGTATCGCACGCCCCCTTTTCCCTATGCAAATTTTGAGGGCTACAGGGTTAACGCTACAGGGTTAGAAAAAGCTTAAAATTAGTTTCCGCTCAAATCAAAATTCGACGTGTTCGAGCGTTTTCCAAAATCTTGATTTTAAATCCTACAAATTAGGGTGGAAAGGTTCCATTGGTTCAACTGGTCAAGTGGATTATTTTGTTCATGTAAATTATTTTGCTCAATTGATAGGTCTGTATAATAAGGAGTTTCACAAAATACTCATTACCTGTTTTATTTTCAATTGAGCTCACAAAGAGGCACAAATATGAAATGATAATTATTTGGATTAAAGAACTGTCTGTGATTGGCATGACGTCATGGCCAGTGATTCTCATCTGTTTTCGTTTTGCAACGTTGTAATTATTATGATTCCTTTTTTATGTCAATATAGTAGTAAACAAGATACTAACCGAAACAAGGAAAAGTGTCCCGCATCGTAGCTTAAGTAACTATTATTTGAAACCAAACTGAAATAATTTTCTATCGCTAGAATGATATTATTATCGAGTGGTTGTTTCCCCATGGAGAACAAACTCCATTTGCGGAACTGAATGCGTCACTTTATTATCCAACGATGATAAAATTACAATTAAATGATATAAATTGTATGGAAAATTTTCATGTTTCATATCACTGGGTTTGAAAAGGTACAAAGTACATACAGAGTGTCTCCTTATATTTTGACCCCTACCTATAGCTTTTCTACACGAGGTGGAAAAAACTTCGAATATGAAAGTTGTAGGATTTCATCTATTCTATCTTTTGGCACTCCTTAAATAAACAAAGTCGAATCGCAAAATGAAAAAAGAGTCCAAATCAGTTTTTTTTATATTTTAAACTGTTGTGAAAAATCATTTTCTTCTGTTCACAAATATATACACGGTGGCATTGAAATAAGTGCAAATATTTCAAACACTGAGAATACTATCGACTGGCACTAATAAAAAAAATTAGGGATTAAAATGAAATTTGAGATAAGAGCCGTTTTTCCACCCAAAGTTCTATTTTTTTCAATTTTTGGGATGAAATTTCTCGTTAATTAGAAGAATTAGAAAAAATCTGATATCATAGGAATATTCCTTAGACTGTATCTTAATGTGCTGAATATGTGTACTAATTTCAAAAACACCTTGTATATAGTTTGCTTATGTTCTCTTGAGCCGTCTCGGCTAAATTCTTGCTGCACTACTAAAATTTTTGTAAGTATAGGGTGATTCCGAAATTCACAAGAAAAAATTGTTATGATTTTTTTTTAAATGTGTGCTCCCACCATACTACATCTTTGAACTATTATTATATATTATACTTTTAACAGTGTGAATAGGTGTTCGTCAGTTATTAGCCTGCTTCGAAGGCTGTTTTTTCGCATATTCATGGTTGAAAACGTTTGTTCGCAACACATTACCATGCTTTTCTGGGCATTAGTAGCATTAGTAATCAACTTCGAAAAATTTTGCCTTGGGCAGTACTTTTTGAAAATGAATATCGATTTAAAAAAACATGTTTGAAATGAAGTACTACTGTTTCAATTCAATCACGGACGCCATACTCGTAATACTCTACCACCAATATCTACTATTGGTCTGATCTGTGACTCTACTTTAAAGTAGGCATTGTTGGCGGGCCGTATAAAAGCTTGTTGCGGGCAGGAGTTGACCCACGAGCCGTACAATGCCCACCCAGCTAGCTCTAGACGTACCTGTTCTCGTTCCACTCCACCCTTATTTCGGTACACCGGACGTTGAACATGGACAGGACGACCTCCTTCTCCAGCTCCCTTCTGCTGTGCCTGGCGGTGTTGTCTGTGGCCAATCCACCGAAAGTAGTGCCTGCCAACACTTCGCCGCTCACCGTCCAATCGATCAGCGGATCGTAGACGAACGCCTCCAAGAGAGTGAGCAACGTTTCCCTGCCTTTCCTCATCGTCTTCATCACGTTCTCGCACGCCAGGCGGAAGATGCCCTGGAAATAATAATAATTTGATAATAATAATAATGATAATAATAATAGGTCTTTATTAGGCGGAAGTTTAGTATAAAACTATTCTTACACTTTAACCTAACAACTAATGTGATGAACATAGTTATCAATGTAGCATACAACAGTGGAACTACAATTTGTATTGAAAAGAAAGAAAAAAAAAATAGCGAAAAAAAAATCTTGATGAATGTGAGAGATAGATATATTATGACATATAGCTTTTTTTTTTATGTTGTGGTTCCCACCGAAAAGGGATATCCTGTAATATTCAGAGAACATCGTGAGAACCAAGGGAATTAAGGTAGGAATTGGTGTTCTTAAATGTCTGGAGGTTATATGCCTCGGGGAACACCTCCCTTGACAATGCGTTCCAGAGCCTCGCTGTTCGTTGGACGAGTCTTTGGAAAGAGATGTTCTGCAGGTCTCCAAAGTGACCACGAAGGGGCGCGACGTCTCAACTCGACGGGTTAATCTTGCGGGGACTGCCAAGGGAGGAACAATTGTTGATATTCCAGAAGAGCATCGTCCATGAAAATATCGATAAAATACAGCCAGATTGCCAACTTTTCCACGGTGTTCCAGAGAAGTGTGTGAGTTTGTGAGCGAGGCATCACCCACGAGACGAATTGCCCTTTTTTGGACAAAATCCAACAGTTTCAGGGTATGTTTGGGTGCTGCGCTCCAAATATGGGAACAGTATTCCAGGACAGGTCGGATCATAAGCAGCTGACTCGAAGTGAAATAGCTACTGGCCCGAAACAGAAAACCAAGTTTTTGGGATGCACTTTTAGTAATTGATCTCACGTAATTTTCCCAAGAAAGGTTATTGCTGATAGTAATACCAAGCATCGAAATGGACGTCTTCGAAGGTATATTGGATTTCTAGAGAAAAGGCATGCTTGTGTTTTGTTTGTATCAAAATCAACCAAGTTATTGAATCCCCATTCGAAAATTGTTGCCAAGTCGGTATTTATGTTGTCAACATTTCTTCCTCGTTCGTGTCTGATTTGCCTGGCTGGTATTGGAATCCTGGAGGAGAAGGCGGTATGGAGGGTACTATCATCCGCGAAGCTGTGTACTGGACATGAATTTGCTTCCAACAAATCGTTGGTATGGAGTAGAAATAGTGTTGGTGCTAGAATTGATCCTTGCGGAACACCAGCATTTATGGTAAGAGAGTCAGATGAAACTCCTTCGACCACTACATGGAGAGACCTGTTTGAGAGAAAACTAGATAGCAGAGAACATAGCTGGGGAGGCAAGCCATAAGATGGAAGCTTGGCGAGGAGTTCGTGGTGCCAGACTCGATCGAATGCTTTGGAGATATCAAGTGCCACGGCTAAGGTTTCACCTATTTCTCAATAGATTGCTGCCATATATGTGAGACGTAAGCGAGCATGTCACCAGTTGATCTCTGATAACGGAAGCCATATTGCATATCGTTGATAATACCTGAATGTTCCAGATATTTCATGACCTCGATGTTGATAGCTTTCTCCATGATCTTTGAAATAATAGATAGTGCGATCGGTCTGTGGTTGCTAGGTAGGGTCTTTTTGCCTTTTTTCGGAACTGGTTGTACTCTTGCAATTTCAGTTGCACGGGAATATCCCCAATTTGTAAGAGTAGTTGAACAATTGGCAGAGAACAGATGTTAGTTCGGGAGCACATTTCTTGAGAACAACCGGTGGGATTCTGTCGGAGCCACAAGCTTTGTTGGTGTTGAGACCCAATAAAATCTTCCTTATAGTACGTTGTCGAAAGGTGGTCTCGGGCATATGACTGTCAATTGGCGTTATGTTTGGAGGTTGTTTTCCCGTTGAATCCAGAGTGGAATTTCCAGCAAATAAATGCGCAAAAATGTTTGCTTTCTCCTGGGCAGTTGTGGCTAGTGTTCCATCTTCCTTGGTTAGAGGAGGAAACGAGCTGGAAGTGAAGTTTCTTCCTACAGCTTTCATAAGCTATCATGAGTTAAGGATAATCTGTTTGGTTAGAGGAGAGATAGATTCATTGAGTTATTTGATTTTTTATCATAAATTGATGATCGATTGTTTGGCTAGAAGGATTTTTTCAAGATTTGTCTTAAATGAACTCACAGACTCTCTTCAGATGGTCATCTAAATTATTATAAACATGAGGAGCTCCGTAGGCGAAGGAAGATACAAATCTCTTCGTATGGTGTGAAGGAATATGAATATAATACTGTGCACGAATATTATCATTATGGAGGTGCCCGCAAAATCTCAATTTCTCATACAGATAACATGGAGTTTTCGTTAAAATGATTTTGTGACAGAACGTAGCGGAATGTAAATAACGACGAGACTTCATTCTCAACCAGCCTAATTTCGCAATGTTCTCAGACGCGTGATCATATTTTCGTAAGTTTAGTATATATCTACAATTGTTTTGAACTTTCTGAATCCTGCAAGCTTCAAAATTATTAATATGGTCACCGTAAACCACGTTACAATAGTTGAACTGGGATAATATGAATTGATCACAAATCATTTTCTTCAAACTATTTTGCAAATTATATCGATTGGCATATAACAGTTTTAAGGCAACATAAGATTTCTGCAAAGATGTGCTGATATGGTCCGAAAATTCAAGACCTGGATCCATGTACACACCAAGATTTTTTACAATCTTTGTGGGCGCTAGAGTCACGTTACCAACTTTAATGATCAATCTCTTTTCTGCTTTAGACGACGGAGTTTTGTTGCCAAATATCATGAGCAACGATTTCTTAGGATTTATATGCAAATTATGCTCGTTTGAACGTGACACGATATTTTCAAAATCACTATTCATCAGATGGCTCACATTATCCACATCATTCAGGGAAAAATCTGACTGTCATCTGCGTAGTAATGACCCTTGCAATATTTGAGTTCATCATAAAGCTGGGCAGTATGAATCAAAAATAGCAGTGGGCCCAGTATAGATCCTTGCGGGACACCTTTTTGAATCTGCAACGGCGAGGAAATTTGTCCATTAATCATCACATGTTGGAAACGATTAGTCAAAAATTTTCAAAAAATGAAAGGACACCTTGTCGGCAACCATAGTATTTCAATTTCGCAAATAACAAATTGTGATCGATCGCATCGAAAGCTTTAGAGAAATCAAGCATCACAAGTGCAGTCAGTTTCTTATTATTATAAGCTTCAATAATATCATCACATATTGAGGTTAGGGCAAATGTCGTGCTATACCCAGCTCCATCCAAGATCTACTATTAGTATCTAATATCGATTTACCAAGATATCGAATGAAATAGAGCCAAAGAAACAAAAATTGTATTGCTGGTGTTTGGACCCTTGTATGACAAGGATTAGGAACTATTTATTCAATAGAAATTGAAAAATAAAATGTTTGCCTCGAGCGGGCGTCATGGCCATAACGCCGGTTGAAAACGCCCTAGGGCAAAATAATCGAAAATACTTCAAGAGTTTTCTGTCTGATCAGATCATCTGATTCTTAAAATTTTTATATCTTCTGCCTCTTTTACCTCATCCAAATTCAACTATTTAAATCAAAATAAATTTTCAAAAATAGAAACGCCCCCGTTTTGAAAAAAATCAAACTTCCTACAAGAATCTAGTTTAGTCTAGTTTAAAATGAATCAAAGCATTCTTGATCATGAGAACTTTGAGTAGAAGATTTTGAAACTTTCACAAAACCTCTTATAATGAGAAAAAGTAAGAATAATCAAGCAAGTTATAATTATTTTCCTAACAAGTTTGCAAAGTGTTACTTTTACGCACGCAAATACAGTTAGGCGAACGACGCGGAGCAGCGCACGTGTTAGGAACAACGTTTTTCCTGCGAGCATCATATCAGATAAAAGGAAAATTAAAAAAAATTATGATGAAGTGACGGTGTTTCTAGATTTTTGCTGACAGAAACTGAGTAAAAATCTGACATCATGTCAAAGTTGACAAGTGCACTTGATGTTGCTTGACAATATTATATAATCATAAATCATTATACTAGGTATTCTCCTTTGAAACCGTGAAATTATTTTTTGTATTGAGGTGAAATACAAATATCGGGAGAACGGTTGAAAAATAAAAGGGATAACGGCTTCTTATAGAGCTACAGTAACTAAAATGAATATAAATGTTCCACACCAGTGACATTTTTGGGTAGTTTTACTTATTCGCACGCCGTGCGGATAACACCCATATCCGCACTGAGTGCGGAAAAGTATTACTTTGCGCACACAAAGGAGTTCAGAAAAGTAATACTTTGCGCACGCTCGTAGGAAAAAGAAATTAGAGAACAGTAAAATATTTTTACTGAAAATTAGGATTTTCCAAATATGCTCAAATTTGGTGGGTAGATATGAATTTAATAAAGAATAAAAAAAATCTCTAATTAAAATTTCCTCGACATTTGCTCAAATTTCGATCCGAAATTTTCCAGAATTAATGCAGTTTACTGGTGACTCTGTATACCAAAGAGGAACATATTTATATACGATGTACATAAAGTTAATATTAGTTTCAGATTAGATTATTTTCACGAACCTCAATTGATTCATCACGTGCACTCTTATTTTTGTATGATGATAAGGATTTTTAGACAAGAAGACTTGAGAGTTAAGTTACGATACTCGGTCTTTTTTTATGAATCGAAATAATTGTATCATGAAACGAGTTTTACAATAATTATTTTTGTATCAAGAGCGTGAAATGCTACTTTGGTGATCGAGATCTGATTTTTTTACGGAGCGTAGCCGAGTTAAAAAAATAGTCGAGATGACCAAGAATTTCGCGCTCGAGTTGCAAACAACATTTCTTCTACAAACGTCAGAAAATATAGTTCTAAAGTAAAAATATTCTTAGCTTGATATAAAAAATAGTTTTGAACTGGCTTAAAAGGCCTCCCCCTATCCTCCCTAGGTACGCACGATGTTCCACGAACATAATAGGAATTTCCTTTCGTGCGCTCCAAGAGATAAAACAAACATTGTT